GAGAAAATAAACTCTGAACTCACCCTCACTGGGCCCTAATTCCATTGCAGGCTATCACTGCACGCGCGAGTTACAACAGTCCTCTTCACTCTTGTCCATTCAGAAGTCAGAAAGACCTGAAGTTTAAACCCCTGTCAGCAAATGGCCATTCAGTCGACTATTTTCGGTTTTTGAATTCTGTGTGCTGTGCGACTCTCTCCGGAGGTTTCCAACCGGGGCTGGAATTCCTCGAGAAAAAAACTCCCTTATTCCGCACTGGCGATCGCTGCTTTTGCGGAATTGTGTTCTTTTTGTTAAGAAGACACAGGCGCGATCACTGGGACAACAATTGTATTAGTGTGAGCTTTCGCCTTCACACAAGAGGCCATCGTCAGAAAAGCGGAGAGAACAGGAAGCATTGGCATGTTTTTGTAGTCCATCTACAAGTAAATGGGGGGTCGGGGGTAGCATTCGTGATTGGTCCACGCTCACGCCGTCTCACCGTATCGCTTCTGCGCGCGTCCTTGGCGTTATAGTGTGCGGCTTTTGCACCGTTTCGTGCTTCCTCGGTGTGGCAGCGTGCGTGCCTAGCCACGAACTTGGCCGTGCTTCTTGGCCGCGTGAACGGAGGGCAAAATAACAGGGCGGTGCATCCGCATGCCTGTTGCTGGAGTTTGAGCCTGATACCCAGGCCTCCAGTAGTTCTCGCCCCATCTTATTAGCGGCGCGTGCCATTAACCTGCTCGCCTGCCCATGAAGTCGAATTCTTTTCAACAAGAACCTGGGGCATGCATATTTGCTTCTATTTGTGTTTTGTTTTTCTTCTGGGAATGGCGTATTTACTCCACCTGAAAGAATTCCTTGTAGTAGGGGATGAGCGTCTTTTGGCCGGACTGCATTCTCACTACCCCTACTTTGTGCCCCCCCTCCCCCTGTTTCAGTGCCTTTTTGAGATGCTGATCGACTACCTTAACGACGGAAATATGCTGCAGTCCCTGGCGAAAATCATTAAGGCCTGCGTGCGCGATATCCAGATGCAGCAGGCCAGGCCGCGCAAATTATCCGGTCCTGCCAAGTTGATTTCCTCCCTGAGCTTCAGTGTGGGCGCCTCCTCCGATGAGAACCGTTTCATCGCCCTGGTCACACACATCCTCCGTGCGCCACCGAACACGCCTGTGCAAAATGCCGACGGCCTCGTGGAGTTCATTTACACTGCCTGGTTGCACCTACAAGAGGTGTTGACGGAGCCGCTGAAGATCTGTTTCACACATCCGCATCAAGTCCTCGCCTGGGCTAAATTCATGAAGGATGCCCTTTCTGTCGTGAAGTCGCAATTTATGCGTACGTTGATGAAGACCTGCGAGCGGTTTTTTGTGCTTTTTTGCTGTCCCTTTCCTGTGGCTGTCTCTTTGCATATTTTGTCGAAATGTGTGCTGCGTTTTCTGCTCCTCTTCCTCCCAATCTACTTAATCTTTCGTGAATTGAACACGCGCAGCAAAACTGACTTGTAGGGCCCTCTAAATATAAATTCCTCCCGCTCAACTGCCTAACGTATTTTGTGGTTAAACGTTTTATTCTTGGCTAGTGAGTGTAAATGAATGGTTAATTGTTATGCGAGAAAATTCGAGGTCCAGATAAAATATTCCTTACATCATCCCCGG